CTAGGTATATTTCCATTTACACCATACAGCTGTCCCTTAAAGTTGATGGTAAGGCACATACCAGGTGTCCCTTGAGGCTTTGCAAATTAGAAATTTATCTGAACAGAAACAAGTCACATCCAAAACTGTATTTTAAATTATGTCGGAATGCTACAAACATTTTTCCTCCTTGACTATAGTTTTAAAACACTGTAAAGAAATCAGAAAAGTAGCCAGGGCCTGTCCTACACCTTAAATTAGTGAGCCTTTGAATAATTTATTTACTCACTCATTACTTCTACAAATAATTGTTCCAAAGCTGAGAAATGTGCCCTACTGTTAAGGAGCCAGAAGCCATTTATGGTCTTTGTTTCTAGACCTACATGAGAAGGAAATATTTCTCATGTTGTATTTGGCCTTTGAACTAAACCTCTCTCTATCCAACTCTCCTTATCCCAAGAAGAACATTTCCTTTGAACAACATAAACTTTTATCTGTTTATATCAAGGGGTTAACCTCAACTTATTTAAACAAATATTCACTGAGAATATATAATGTCCATGAGACTATGATAGTAACAGAACACAGTTTCCATCCTCCAGGGTAATCTTTATCTAGTGAGGTAATGAAGTTTCCGTAGAGAAAATGCAAGGCAGAATGGTAAATTCTATAATCCAAGTTACAAACATTTTAATGACAGTCAGCCCTCTTTATCTGTGGGTTCCACACTCGTGGATTCAACAAACCGTAGATCAAAAATATTCAAAAAAAAGAAAAATTCCAGAAAGTTCCCAAAAGCAAAACTTGAATTTGGTGCACCCAGGCAACTATTTACATAGCATTTACACTGTATTAGGTATTATAAGTTATCTAGAAATGACTTAAAACATTCAGGAGAATGAGTGTAAGTTATGTTCAAATACTACACCGTTTGGTATGAAGGATTTGAGCATCCTCAGATTTTGGTATCTTTGGGGGTCCTGGGACTAATCCCCTATGGATACCAAGGGATGACTGTAATTTATTTCTCTGAAGATTAACACTGTTAATGTGTTTAGTGTCCTTCTGATGCAGATGGGTTAATTTTTACACATGAAGGTCTCTGGGGCTAATGAGAAGAAATTATTTTAAGCATTTAATTTATATCCTAAATTAGCTTTCTGTAGACTTTTAATCCATGTATGCATGCACAGAATGAGGGAGCAGGTCTGAGCATGGGGTGAAAAGGGAGGGAGCTTTCAAGGTACTTCATTTTAATGAAACTGGATTTTAGTCTGCATTACAGAGGTTCTAAAAGTAATATATTTTTTAAGGATCAAAAATTTAAAAATACATATTCTTTGACCCAGCATTCTCCAGTGTCAGGACTTGAACCTACAGATGTGATCCCAAATGCCTGCTAAGCACATAGATAAAGAGCATCATTGGACTTTTTTTTTTTTAATAGCAATTAGAAAATTAGGTGACTGCTTAAATAAATTATGGTATATCCATATGACAGAATACTATGCATAAATTGTAAATGCTGATGTAGAACGACCACTGAGATATATCAAAAATGTAAAAGACATATATATATATATATATATATATATATATGTAACATTTAAAAATGAGTATATCAATAGAAATATGGAGATATGCAAAATATTTTTCTGGAAGAAATCAAAAGAAATTTAACAGGTTGAGGAGATGGGTAGAGGGTGGGATGCAGGGAGGGAGATTTCAATGTTCACTTTCTGTGCTGTTAAATTTTTAAATTTTAACCTTAGACGTATTACTTTTTCATTACTTAATTTTTAAATTGTTAACATGAAGTTATCTGGACAAGGAGATAACCAGATTTTTCCCCCCTTTTCTTCTCTGCAACTAAAAAATATTCTAAAGGTTGTTGTATTAAAAAAACAAAACACAGCAAAAACTGAAAAAAAAATCCCAGGAACTATGCTCCAGGCAGTATGGAAGACAAGAGAGCCTGAATCATTGTCCTGATGAAAAACAAGTGAAAAAGTCAGATAAGATATAAAACGTGTATAAAATGTTTTAACTGTGTTATTGAGCTGGCAAACTCTAAGAAATGAGGTTGAAATAAATGTATTTTTAGATAAATAATAATAGATGGACCTTCACTAAAAAACATGAGATATATTTCAATATAAGGGAGAGTATGTATTTCAGATAAAAGGGAAATGATTTCAGATGTTAAAGTCAGAGATGCAAATAGGAAGAGTGAGAAAAGATATTAGTAAGTATTTTGATCCAATGCAATTACAGTTGAACTCCCAATAGATAATCTCTGTGGAATTTGACAAGCTAAATCTGAAATTTATATGGAAGAACAAAGGTCCAATTATAGTCAAAAAACAAATAGACTAATGGACAAAATAAAGACCCTATAAATAGGCCCTTGCATATATATGAAAACTGGATTTATAATGGAGAGGGCACTGCAGATCAGTGGGGAAATGGATGGACTGTTCCATTAAAGGTACTGAGACACTAAAAGCAATAGCCATAAAGGAAAAGATTATTAAAATGTACTACATTAAATTAAGAGTTTCTATTCATCATTAGTGGCAGGGCAGGAATAAAGACACAGATGTAGAGAACGGACTTGAGGACCACGGGGTGGGGGGCGGGGGGGGAGCTGGGATGAAGTGAGAGAGTAGCACTGTCATATATACACTACCAAATGTAAAACGCATGGCTAGTGGGAAACTGCTGCATAGCACAGGGAAATCAGCTCGATGCTCTGTGACGACCTAGAGGGGTGGGATAGGGAGGGTGGAAGGGAGGCTCAAGAGGGAGGGCATACGGGGATATATGTATACATATAGCTGATTCACTTTGTTGTACAGAAGAAACTAACAACATTGTAAAGCAGTTATACTCCAATAAAGATATAAAAAGATATATGAAATCCATGTGTGACATAAAAAAAAAATAAAGAGCACAACAATCGTTAAAGAAAAAAAAAAGTTTCCGTTCATCAAAAGACACCATAAAAATAAGACAAGCCAAAAACTGGGATAAAATATTGCAATACATATAGCTGATAAAGGATTAGCATCCAGAATATTTATAGAACTCCTACAACTGATAAAAGACAACCCAGAAGAAATAAGGGCAAAGGACACAAATAGGGATTTAACAGAAGAGGAAACACAGAAGTCCATAAACATAATAAAAATATGCTAAACTTCATTAAGTAAGCAGTGTCTTTAAATTCAAATTTAACTCACAAAGTGATCCATTATATAACCACCAGTTTGACAAAATTTTAAAAGTTAGATAATACAGTCAGCCCTCTGTGATTATGATCCAAGGTTGGTTGAATCCAAGGATGTGGAACCCATGGATAAGGAGAGCCTACTATGAGAATTGTGCATCTACAGATTTTGGTATCTGTGGTGGGTCCTGGAAGCCATCCCCCGCAGATACACAGCGATGGCTGTACTATATGTTGTAATGATGAAGATCTTGAGTGATAGGACCCTCACCTCTGTTGGTGCCAGTGTAGGTTTATATAACCAACTTGGAAAACGGTCTGGCATTTCTTAGTGAAGCTGAACATGTGGTTACCCTAATCCTACTCCAGGTACACATCCTAGAGAACTGCTAACACGTGTATGTCAGGAAACGTACCGGGATGCTTATGGCAGTTTTGTTCTTAATTACACAAAACAGCCCAAGGACCATTAATGGTGGTATAGACATAAACTGAGCTCTGTATTAGAAATTCCATTCCATGTAATGGAATACCAGATAGCAGTGAATCACGAATGAAACATAACTCCATGCAGGAACATGGATGAATCCCCAAAAATGCTGAGCAAGAGAAGCAAGAGAGAATACATGAAATATGATTCTACTTATACAAAGTTCAAACACAGAAAACTAAACAACACATACTGTTTAAAAATATATAAAGAAGTATGGGCTTCCCTGGTGGCGCAGTGGTTGAGAATCTGCCTGCTAATGCAGGGGACATGGGTTTGAGCCCTGGTCTGGGAAGATCCCACATGCCGCGGAGCAACTAGACCCATGAGCCACAACTACTGAGCCTGCGCGTCTGGGGGCTGTGCTCCGCAACGAGAGGCCACGACAGTGAGAGGCCTGCGCACCGCGATGAAGAGTGGCCCCCGCTTGCCGCAACTAGAGAAAGCCCTCACACAGAAACGAAGACCCAACACAGCCAAAAATAAATAAATAAATAATTAAAAATATATATATATAAAGAAGTAATACATTTAAGAAAAGCAAGAAAATGAATAATTCAAGATTCAGGATAGGGATTGTATGGGAGAGGGGTGGGTGGTGTAGGAAGGGGGATGATCTGATTAGTGAGGGCACCCTGGGTAATCTAAGGACCTGTAATACTCTATATCCTAATCTAAGGAGGGGGTGCATGGATGTTAATTTTATTTTTTAAATTGTATAATACATTAAATACATATTATATAATATATATTATATATACATATATATGATACATTTCATGGGAAAAAGCACACACACACATCTTTCTGAACATGATGGGGAATATATTATAGACCAAAAAGAAAAGAATTTATCAATGGATTTACAATGTGATCCCTAGCTTTTAATCCATTTTATCAGAATGACATATTGAGACAGGATTCAGTCAAGCTTGGAAACATAGCTTACACCAAGGGACCATATGATAAACATGACCTCACATGAGAAGCTATAAAAAGCTGTGTGACATTATGAACCGCTCTTCTCTGCCTCACAAGTGAAAATCTCAACTACTTAACTCAGTTCAACAGAGAAAAGCTGAAGGGAAGATCCTATGCAAGCAGGCAAACACCACGGCCTAGAACTGACTAAGCAACATAAATGGACTTCCAGTGGTTAAGGCTGACAATGACCTCTAAAGTATGCTTGAAAAACAGAGTTCTTCTGCCACATATATTTACCTTGCTTCAGAAGAACCAACACCTGCCTTCAGTTGCTGTTCAAGGAACTGAATTCTTTTGCAAAGCAGTATAAATGCTCACCTGTGCTTGACCATTTTTTGATCATGGCAAAAATGACTGAAGAATCTTGCATAGAACAAGTGCATGACAGCATGTTCTTTCCCTCCAATGTACAAATCCACAGGCATCCAGTAATCTGCCAACGCTGTGCTGAAAGGGCTGGGAGGAAGAGAGATGGTCATTTATAAAAAAACCCTGCTTTGTCACAATTGCATAAATTAGACCAATCATAATTTGCATATTCCCTGAAATAAATTATGTCAGAGAAAAACAGTGATTTTCTTATTAAAATATAATGAGAGAAGCTTATATAACAAAGGAGAAAAATGTCAGAGCAGTGTTAATTTATGAAATTTATAAAAACTGTTTCAGAAGCCATTATTGACACATTTTAACAAATGTGATTTTCATATATAATGAGGACAAAAGGAAAACATACCAGCAAAAAGGGTATTTCTGTACAATGCATATTTGACTATCTGGATTTATTTTAATTTTTATTACCAGAGACAATCAAGATTTTTGAGTTCTTACCAATAGAGGGCAATATGGCATGTACAATGGAGACTCTCATGCAGACACTAAAAGTTCATTTTAAGACAGAAATTCATTTGCCTTTCTAGTGCATTAAGAAATGACATGCATGTCATTTCTTAATACACTAGAAAGGGGAAATAAAGTACACAAGTCCAAGTCTAAAATTAGTGCTTTTCCATGCAGATTTGTGCACATGTGAGAGGGTGTCCAGTTTGTCTGGTGATTGTTAGAGAGTTGGACCACTATTGTATGTTGCTAATAATCATCGACTGGAGTCCCAAAAATGCCTTGTGAAAATGTTATGCCCTATGTAACAGCAGAGTAACATAAAATTACATTTTATAAACCAAAAAATAAATAAATAAAACAGAAATTCAATCTTATTTTTAAAGCAGCCTCAAAATGCAGATAGCCAGCAAGAGCCTGCATACGCTTCCTGAACGCACTGAGCATACTTGGAGTAATTAACATGGAACAGCCTAATTCTGTCACCTAATAGATACTTTTTAGTCAAGAGAGGTCCTAAAACAAAGGCTTCCTCACTGGAGGCATCATTCCCTAGTCCTAATGGATGCTAGGGAGGAAAAGAAATGCCACTCACTTTATTTTCTGTGTGTGTGTGTGTGTGTGTATACACTCCGTGTGTGTGTACACTCTGTGTGTGTGTACACTCTGTGTGTGTGTGTGTGTGTGTGTACACTGTGTGTATGTGTGTATACACTCCATGGTTTCACATATATGTGAATTCTCTTCCCCACACCTCAAGGTACTTTTTTCCCTGGCACTCAGCAGGTGGGCCTGGCCAAACACCATGTGTTTGCATCTTAAGGCAGCTTGTTTTTCTCTCCTCCAGTTACTATTCCAGAATTCTGATAAAATTTTAAATAATGTTTCTTTGTGAAAAATGCTTCCCCAGAGAAATCTAACTGCTCATGCAGGTGACAGAAAAGCAAGGGAAGTCAAGAATGGTACTCGGCCTGAAAGTAAGTTTGAAATAAATTGAGCAGTGAGATGTTGAAGGGATCTATGATCTTTCCTGGAAACCACCTAGTGAGAATGCAAGCCAGCATGGAAATAAACAGCAGCATTTTACAAAGGAAATGATGTGATACGTGGCATTCCCAAACTGGGGGCTGTGAAGGTCTCGGGACATAACTCTCACCAGTTAAGGGTCCCATCATTAAATTGAAGTCTCATCTGTAAGAAGGTTTTCCCTTGAAGCATTCTGAGAGGCGGAGAGCCTGATTTCCCTTGCATTCTAAGGCAGCTCTTCCTAACTGGAAGTCACCAAAAGCCCCTTCTAGAAGGAAGACCCAGAAGAGGGGCCCCTCTGTGGGTTAGCCGGGGCTGCCCCGGTGGTTCCCAGCCACAGAAGTCGCCCTGTATCCTTTCTTGCCTCTGCCGGCTGCTATTTACTCCGGATCCTGCTCATTCTGCACAGCCTCAACTCAAATCACAGATCCGCAGGACTGCAGGGCAGGCAGGAGGGCCTGTCTCCCTGGAAATGTATTATCTTACAACCAACGAAGAAAATGGGGGCATTTTCATACGTGGACTATGGGGTTTCAGTATAATTGTTCTCCCATGGACAAGAGCAAGCTGGCAAGGTCTTTGAAGCACAGTGTCTGTGGTTTTCCTGTGCTCTGTACCAGTTTTCTTTTGTTCTCATTTCCTTCTTTACCTATCTACCTACTGCTCTCTTTCCCTTATTTATTTATTTTTGTCAAAGAAGCACATGCACATAGCTGAAAAAAATCAAATAGTACCAAAAGGTTTATAATTAAAACAGTGGTCTACAGCCCCATTCCTTCACTAACCTCCCTCCCACCCCTCACCTGTCACTTAGCCACTTTTAATTCTTTCAGATGTTTTTTCTGGCAATTATTAAAAAATGTTTATGCTCTTTGTTCGTCTGTCAATTTTGGAAATTATCTAGCGACTGTATGTGCTAAGAAGTCATGCTTCTCAGCTCTCTCACACTCCCTACCCTCCTATCCTCCCTGAATAGTTACATCATTATTTTCAGTTAAGTAAGTAACATTACACCTTTACAACTGCATAAATGCAGTTCACCACAGGGCCAACGAGGGTATTAGCACTTCCTTCCTTTTTCTGCTTTTCATTTTTCTTGTACCTGGGACTTACTTGGCTGTGAAGAATCTAATTTAATAATCGAACACACTCCCTACAAGAGCCTGTTTCAAAGAGCACAACTGATCAACAGCTTCTAGCTCTTCTGTCTTTGGAGCCACTGGGGGTTCACACAATCCATGCCCTCCTATAGGGAGCAGACCACAGCAGGCGTTTCCTCCTGACTTGAGACTCTCTAATGGACAAGCTTTGCTTGAGGCTTCCCGTCAGCCTGCTCGAGACTTTCTCAAGCTGCAGTGTGGTCTGAGGCTCTTCCTTCGCCATCCTCCTACCTCCGCCCTCTCCTTTCACAGGTGTCAGACCAGCATCACGGTCAAGGGCTCGCCCTGCCAACTCCTGCTCCCTCACCTCCTTATTCCCTAGGGGCACTTGCCCCCATAAATCTCTTGCCCATCGAATTCCATCTTGGTGTTTGCTTCTTGGAAGACCCAGACTGACACATGCTCAAGAATTCAGCAGGGCTTTCTTTACCTCTGAGTATTCTGAGGGTCGGTATATCTGAAGTAGTACCAAGCAGAATCAACAAAGGTATCCATCGTATCTGTCTCTCTCGTGGCTGCTCCCTTGCACCTAAGAAATAAATGAAGTTCATCGATTGGTTTCTTTTTAAATATTAATGCATTTTCCACCAGCTTTTGAGAAAGCTATGACAATCATTATGAATTTAAAATGTCATAAGAACAACGCTCCATCATGAAAAGATAATTCACAGTGTGGACTCTCTTTGTACTGCAGAGTACATGATGTTTTAAAGAAACTTACAAAATAAACATTTAAATCTTCAACAATTAAAAGCCCTATTCTGTACTTCTCTGAATTTAACATGGTAGAATATCTAACAGGAATCTTGTCTCTTTACTGCATTCACTTCTCTTTTAGGCATATCAAGACTGCCTTCAGCCAATGCCTACTGTATGATGCTTATGAGGCAAATCAGTTTATGAAGAAAAGCTGAAAACCAAATGTAGTGAGATACTGTGCTGAAAAATGAACTTGGGGTTTTTTTCTATCTCTGTCTCTTGGGTAAGGGGAGCAGAAATCCACAAGAGGTGACCTTAGGAAGATAAATCACCTTGGGAGCCCAAAGGCAGAGGTATGCTGGAGCCACCTCATACCAGCTTGTGAGGACTAACTGTTGGGATCACTTCCCAACTCTGGGACAAATGATGCCAAGTTGGTAGTCTGAAAGTAGCCCTTGGTGGAAGTACCTATACCACAGAAATGGGCTAACACTACAAACCAGAAGCTCCCCTCCAGAGAGCTATTTAGTACACACTTACCAACACACCACTGCCTAAAGGAAGCTTCCTTATAGAAGGGTGAAGATAGCCCCACTGTTCAAGGAAGTGAATGAAGTGAGATGCCTGGTGCGTAAAGGGTTGAAAAGAAAAAGCAATCCTCATCCTAGGCATGCAGATGCCTGGGGAGGACTAAGGTTCCACAAGCACCCAACTGCTGAACCAATTTTGAAACATGTTGGTAGGGTCATGGCCCTGTGGGACTGAAGCCAAAAGCCACAACTTCTGGGAAGCCAAGAGAGAGTACCCTGAGCCAAGCCTGGCCAAGGAGGGTGCTTGGCTTCCTTGAAGACCCCCCAGAGGCCTGGAACAGCAGTGGATGGGGTGAGCCAGCTACCGACAGCTATTAGCAGGGACCCTTTGTGGCCGTGAGAAGCCACAGCAGGAGAACAGGGCTCAGACTCCAGGCTCTCCCTTCTGAGGCATGGAAGTGGGATCAACCACCTCTCCAAATGCTGCCCTTTTGGCAGTATGGGTCCTCGGGGGTTCTTGGAGAATTTGAGGAGGGGGATGAGGAACCCCAAGAGGAAGTGATGAATCCTCTGCTAATTTAGCATGCAAGGGCTTGAGTCTGTTTTTAATTTAAAAATAAAAGAAGGGTTGCCTTTATATGTTGTATCTGTGATGCAGTCCATACTGGCTTTCCGAATATTATTGGAGGAAACAGCCACTCCCCATCTTCTGCTTATTAAATGGAAGTGGCTCAGCAGAGAGCACAGGAGCCCAGATCTGGCAGGGCTCTGGGCTCCCAGGGGCCTCCTCATTTCAGTCAGGGGGCCTCCCACTGGGAAGCGAGGTGGTCCCTGGGGTAGGAGCTTATCAGAGATAGCCCCAAGGGAACCCTAATCCTGTTTCCTACAGTGCATCTGTAAATGAAAGCCAGGGGACTTCCCTGGTGGTGCAGTGCTTAAGAATCCGCCTGCCAAAGCAGGGAACATGGGTTTGAGCCCTGGTCCAGGAGTATCCCACATGCCGCGGAGGAACTAAGCCCGTGCGCCGCAACTACTGAGCCTGAGCTCTAGAGCCTGTGAGCCACAACTACTGAAGCCCACATGCCTAGAGCCCATACTCCGCAATAGGAGAAGCCACCGCAATGAGAAGCCTGTGCACCACAACACAGAGTAGCCTCCACGCACTGCAAAAGAAAGCCCGCATGCAACAACAAAGACCCAACGCGCCACCCGCAAAAAATAATAAAATAATTTAAAAATTAAATAAATAAATTCCAGGTCTTTTTATTTGGAAGGCAATCAACCAGAACACATACTATTTTGGGAAATAATTAGAAGGCAACTGTTACTTCTTCTTCCTCACCATTAGGGCACCCATACAAGTTAGGAAGAAAATGCAGGATTCAACTGATAATAGGACTAATATCTGACTAAAACTTGCCATGCTGATTTTCTTTTTAAAGGTCATGTTGGACTTGAAGACAACCAACATGTTTTCCTGCTGACACTAAAAGCTGGATTACATGGAAGAGGCTACTTGGTAAGTGGGATGGACAGATGATGGTGATGGTAACAATGTTATTACCATTATTAGCTCCAATAGTAATAATACTAACACTGGGTGGCAGACACTAAGCCAAATGTTTCATGGGCATTATCTCATTTAATCCCTAGTAACCCTGGGGATTATGAGGTAGACACTACTCATGTCCCCATTTTGAAGTTGAGTAACTAGAGTTCCGCGAGGTTAAGAAATCTGCTCAAGGTCTTAGAGCTCAAGGGTAAGGAATCCACCTTTGCTGGACTCATGGCTGTGGTCCTTACCACCATGCTGTCCCGCTTGGCCACATGGGCTCAGTGGCTCTCAGCCCTGCGTGCTCATTAGGGTCATCAGGGAGACTTGACCAAGCCCAAGCCCTGGGCTCTGCCCTCCAGGAATCTGCAGCCAAGGTAGGAAAACTTATCCCCACCACCAAGGCCCTGGGCTGCCACAACTGGCGGGCTGAAGGCTGCTGATGTCTCCAGCAGGGAAACCCTTTGTCACTGCTTATCAACAAAGAGGGTGACACCCTAAAATGGCCCAGAGCTTCCTATGTTCCTGACTGCAAGCCCCATCTCAAACCTCAGAACCGCCTGGGTGAGGACCTGGGCGGACTGTTGGCAGGCCTGGGCAGGATGGCACTAACATTTCCAGTTACAGAGTGTCTGCTAGGTGTCACTCTGCAGTGTTACATGCATTAATTCTCATCTTCTGAAATCCCTTCAAGGGGGTTATTTTAGCTCCCGATAAGGGAATCACAGCTCAGAGAGGTTAAGTGAGTTTCCCAAAACCACACAGCTAGGGAAGAGGCAGGGCCAGGACTTGAAGCCATTACTGTCTGACTCCCCATTCTGAGCCATGCACTTGCACTACATGGTTACCTAATTACTGACCTAGAGATGCTAAGAAGAGGACTAAATTATTTTAAAACAACCCCATCATGATCTATAAGGCAGAGAAAAATGGCTTTTCCATAGAAGGAAGAAGGGAAATATTACAGCTTGGTATCTGTTATTTGTTTAATCAGCTGGAATGGTATCATAAAAATCACATGTGAGACATGCCAGTGAATTAACAGGAAAACATAATCCTACTGTCAAAATGAGAAGAAATGAGATATGGTATGTTTCAGTATATTAAAGAATGAGACCCCCTGAGCAGACTTGTCCTCGTAGCTACTACTACTCTGCTACTTGTGATAAAAACCCCACTGTTATCACAGTCACTATGTGGGAAAACGGTAAGGCATTTTCTCTCATCTCTGAGAAGCTCTTTGGAATATAAAATGGAGGAAAGTGGTCTCTTCCAAAGCTATCATGAAAATGTGTAGCTTTTCCATCAGTTGGATCAGCTGTTTCTGGGAAAGATATGAATTGACATTGCTGCTTCTACCGGCTCAGAAGAGAGGATGGGGCGCTCATCACAGGGGCTGGGCCCCAGATTCCAGCCCCTTCTCTCAAAGACAGCAAAAGACCTAAGACCTATGTTATTCTTTCCAGCCAAGTGGAAGTCCGGGACCAGACATGGTCACAGCTGGGGAACGTGGTTTCTTACCTAGGGCAGGAGCAATTCACCCACTCCGAAGCCGAGGCCAGTGGGGAGCCTCCCTTGCCAGTGAAAGAGGTGATGCTGGGCAAGGTCACAGGCAAGTCCTCCAGAGGCACGGGCACAGGACCGCAGGCCGGGCAGTGGACCATGGGGATGGGCGTGCCCCAGTACCGCTGCCGAGAGATCAGCCAGTCCTTCAGTTTATCACTTGTCACCTCTCCGCCCACTCTCTTCCTCCGGGCTTTCTGAGTCAGGGCTAGAAATGCATCCGGCCGGTTCATACCTGTGAACTGAGAGGGGAAGGAGAGAGATCGCATTCCTCCCTTGGTAAGAATGAGCTGCCACCCTGATGCCACCACCCTGGATTGCCATTTTTTGTGTGGTCTGTGCAGGGCCACATTGTGACTCTCTGTTGCCTTTGTGGGCACCTTCCTCCTTACAGTATTAAAACTTATATTTTATGACAGTGGTGAATAAAGATGAATATAATTTTTGACCTTAAGAGTTCACTTTTTTCTTCTGATGTTAAAGAAATTAACAGTTTTGGGGGGGCCCCTGAGAGTACTGTGGGCTCTGGTTTGGGGCTCTCCTTATCACCAGAGCCCTGTGGCACCTACGGAGAGAGGCAAATATCAGCATTCAGCTGCCAGTAAAAAACTGCACATTTATTTTAATGACTAATCCCCTCTTGAGACAGGGGTGGCCAGAAAAGAAAAGTTCCATATTATCCTAGAGCCGAAGGAATTCAGGCAAGCAGGGGAACAAACTGAGGCCTCAGCTTGAAGGACCACCCCTTTTGTATTTAAATGCTCCCATGTGAGAGACAGCAGGGCAGGACACTCATAGCAGAAAAGAGGAATTCTCTGTTCACCGGACACTTTTGAGAGAACCAAACTAATGATAAGAATCAGGCCAGCATGGCTTGCCAACGAGGGGATTGTGGGAACCTTGGAATTGGTTCAGTGCAGGTGTACCGCAAACCTACTAGGTGCCAGGCTTGTGCTAGGCGTTGGGAGCACAAAGATAAATCTGATCTGCCCCTATCCTCAATGAGCTTACAGCCACGGGGCATAAAGAATAGGAAAGTACAGCTATGTTTATCAAAAGCAGCCTTTTCCATTAAGCGTCTGAAGTGTCCTGAAGACCGAGCTCTCTACCAAGGAACCACTTACACTCTGGGAGAGCACTTTCTTTGTCCTACACTCCCACTATCATGTAATTATGGTGCAGGTGATCACAAGCTCTCCTGAAAGTCTATCTTCTCAATGCATTACTGTTTTCACATCCCAGAAGCTCATGGAAGCTTTCACCATCCATTCTCCTTCCATCCATTGAAAGAATTCCTCTAGTCTAGATATTCAGTCTAGGGCCACCAGAAGATTCAACAGACCACCTGAAGCTATTTGAAAGAAGCCAGGGAGCATAATTAATGCTCAGTCCTATACTAAGGAGGGGGCATTTTTCTGGCTAATTCATAAGACTAATTTTGGCCATGACTGTCCTCTTTCTCACCCTGCAGAGGGTTATCCGGGTCTCCTTTCTGGCACCTTGGCTTGGCTCTGCTCTACATCTAAGAAGCCTGCTCACACACAGTCTTAAGAAGGGTTTAAGGTTCAGTATCTTAAAACATGACTCATGTCTGGGGATATAATTTATGAAGTGAAGGCACAAACATGAGGTCAGAAAACATTGCCACTCCTTACACAGGAAAAAAAACCTGGCTATTCCCTTATTTTTTATATACGTGATATCCTATAGCCAGGTAGTCCCAAACCTGAAAAACCTGGATCTTCAGGTCTAATGCAATCAGGATCACCCAGGTGGGGCCAGTAAGCATCTCCCAGGTGATTCTGAGACATGGCCGGGTTGCAATCACTGTGTTAAGCCGGGAGTTCCCAGGCCCTGCTGCACATTAGAATCACCCGGGGAGCATTGAATTCTCCTGATGTCCGATCCATGTCCTCTCCACTCCCTCAACCATTAAATCAGAATATCTGGGGTGGGACTCAAGCATCAGTATTTTTCAAAACGTTCCAGGTGTTCTCAAAGGGCAGCCAAGTTTAAGAAAGAGTGCTCTAAACCAGAACTCTCAAACTTTAATGTGCACACAAATCACATGGGGTTCTCACTAGACCAGGTGGGGTCTGAGAGTCTACACTTCTAACAAGTGATGCCAACGCTGCTGGTCCTGGGACCACACCTTGGGTGGCAAAGTTCTAACCCAGGGATTCTCAAAATGTGGTCCCTGGATCAGCAGCAGTAGTGGCATCACCTGGAAACTTGTTAGAAATGCAAATTCTTCAGTTGCATCAGGGACTGTGAAGCAGAATCTCCAGATGGGGGCCAGGGAATCTGTGTTCTAACAAGGCCACCAGGTGATACTGGTGTGTGCTCAAGTTTGAGAATCACTGTCTAAGCCATTTCCCACTTCCCCCTGCCCCACCTCACCCTACTTCTCCCATCATAATTTCTGGCCTAGTTCGGTATCAAGGCTGAGCTCAAATCCTGCCAGACTTACCACCTAGCAAGAGACAACCTTGACCAAATAAACATGACTCAGAACTTCTCTGCTGATTTCTAAAAATGAGTCAAACTTTAGGTGGGAATAAGTCAGTAATCTGGGGAGAACAGAGATCTCTAAAAGGAACAGCCAATTTTGGTCACCTGTCCCAAGGAAATCAGTTTCCCTGGAAGAGGTCATTTTTCTTAAGCAGAAGATTCACAAAATAAAGTTTACTTGCTTCGATAACCACACTATCCTAGGATCAGGTTCAACTTGGAGCTGATAAGCTTTTAGATCTTGAAAAAATATTATTTTGTTTTCATAGATAAGAAACGAGGCTGCAAGACTGTTAGTGTGGGTATGAATGAAATGATAGGTCGTAACTTGCACCCAAAGGAAAATGTGTCATCAGGCTCTTGTCAAGGCCCTGAGTTTATAAGTAAGTTCTTTGGCCACCTCCACGAGCACCGACCTCCGCAGAGCTGCTCAGTCTCTCCGTGCCATCTGGCATGGTTTCAATGACTTCAGAGTACGACAGGCCCAGGGTTTGGGCTAAGACAGTGTCCTCTAAGCTGGTGCTGGGAATTCCTGTTTAGGGGAAGAAACACAAAACGTCTCCTTTGCAAATGGCCAAATCACAAAATAACTGACAGCACTGACACTCAGCGTTAGCTTCTGAAGGGAGACTCTAAAAGATTTTAGTCACAGAAATTATAAAACCACATCATATTCACTGGGAAAATGGAGAACAGTCTTGGAGAAACTCACTACCCTAACACAATAGTTTACCATATTGACACTACTTCCTGTAAGTCTTTTTCCATTGCTTAGTTTCTTTTAAGAAATAGTTGTAATTCTAAAATATACAATTTTGGGTGCTTCTGTCACTTAAATAGTAAATCACAAGCATCTGGGGAAGTGTCTCTTTTGAGTGACACAGGGCAGTGAGTTCTCTTGAGAAGCAGGGATGACTCCTCCAGCAGCTCGTAGCGCCCCAGAAAAATCCGCTTGGTCAGTAAGTGGAAAGCTGGCCAATGTGTTTCTTCAAACTATGCTTTGTTCCCAGAGGCAACAGTACGTTCTGAACAGACATTTCTTCTTCAACCCACATATGCCCTTGAGGAGATGGAGTTGAATGTAAGTAAATCACTCATCCAGAGGGCCAAGGCATGCTGTTTCAGCTTCAGCTATTAATACAAACAGGCTTTTTAGTTGTTGGTTCTGTAGGCCAGGGTTTCTCAACCTGGGTCCTACTGACATTCTGAACTTTGCTGGGGGGCCTGTTCTGTGTGCTGTAGGATGTTGAAGAGCATCCCTGGTCTCTACCAGTAGAAATGTTTCTAAAATTGCCAAATGTTGCCTGCTGCAAATCACCCCTGGTTGAGAACTGCTGTAGGGTCAACTGTCAAGACTGCTGACATCCTTGTGGACACTACACATCACGCAGCAACCGAGAGAGATAAAACTAAGGGTAATATACAAAATGCTTACGTCAGATGTCCATGAACAACCTCTCTGGAATGCTGCCCTAAAAGGGTGATTTAATGTTTGGGACACACATTCTAAAGCTCCTTGGTAAGATGGAAAACTCCATGGTATGATGGAAAGTTCTGCAGTGTTCCAGCTGAGATTATGGATGAAAAGCATCTAATGAAGCAAATAAACTCTCAGAGTGGACTTGAAGGATACTGAAGGGTGAGGACAAATGGCAAGCAATAAAGGTTGCTGAAAAGTGTTCATGGTCAAGAAGGGAAAAAAGTCATTTACTGCATTCCAAAAGTTTGTGGTCTGTAGTAACTAGGAGCAATCTTCGAATGGAGACATTGTAACCACAGAATTTATTTGATCACATAAAGACCACTCTGGACCACTGTGTTGGTCATGTGGGGCTCAGTAGAATGTGAACTATTTGTAACATGCAGGTGAGATGGTGAAAGCACCACTTTAACTCTTGTTTACTTTTGTTTCTGTTCTTCTTGGAAGGCCAAGAGCCAATAATTCACAAAACATTAATTACAGAAGTGTGGGATATCAAGACAACAGGAAAAATGATTTTCCATGCATACCCAAGAAAATCAGATTCTCCTTTTCCTTTTTCCCTTATCCTTCAGAACTCTCAATATTCTGTTAGTACTTTGACTCAAAATACCAAAAGGGGAGACTTCCCTGGTGGTCCAGTGGGTAGGACTCTGCGATCCCAGTGCAGGGGGCCCAGGTTCGATCCCTGGTGGGGAACTAGGTCCTGCATGCATGCTGAAACTAAGAGTTTGCATGCCACAACTAAGAGTCTGCATGCGGCAACTAAGAAGTCTGCATGACGCAATTAAAAGATCCCTCACGCCGCAACTAAGACCCAGCGCAGCCAAAATAAATAAATAAATATTTTAAAACAACAACAAAAAAAAAAAAAGGGAAAAAAGCCACATCAACAAGAGCTTCCTCTATTGTTTATCTTGGCTGGTTGTATTAATGAATTTTACTAATTATAAAATGCATTAAAGTAATAGAAGGAATTATTTCCTTTAAGGAACATACGTTCTAGGTTTAAATTGTCAGAGGAGAATGACTTGAGTGGCTTAGTATCTGTTTTCTGTGTTGATGTTTCTTCAAATCAGTTTGCCAAAAAAGGATCTGAGAATTGTGAGCAAAACCATGATTTCAATAAGCAATGCTATTTCTTCTGTGTGCTAGGAGATACAGAGTGTGGAAATAACTTCCTCCGCAGGTTCTGGCACATTGGAGACTGGCTGGAATCTACAGTAGGAAAGCTGTAGAGATTGCTCGGGTCTACCCTGAGGGCAGGTCTTGGATGGGGTATGATTAGGTCTCACACCTTGGTTCAATCCCAGACTTCCTGTTCGGTGATGATAGGTTAGAACTCTTAGGAATGAGTAAGGCCGCCAAGGAAATCCAATTTACAGCTCTAAATATGACTTCGATTTTACTGCTATTTCACGATCCCTTTCTTGCATAGCTGAAGTTCACCTCCTCCACAAAGCCTTCACCAAAAACCCAGCCCACATCGATCATGTGTGCTTTGAACGCCCATCTCAGCAGTTGCTGTTGGTTCTATGAATTCTGAAATTGGATTTTCATCTGAGTTGTATGGTTCCCCACATTGTATAGGCAAGTCTCACCAACTAGCTCTACTGGCAAAATCCATGGGCCAGACATTTTTCATTATTCTCAGCAGCAACTAGCAAGATGCAATATACTTGATATGTTTTCCAAATATGATGCTTAAATAAGAGATGATGAAATGAAGGGACATTCATTTTTACAAAGAGGCAAAACAGATCATGGAATATATAGTCAGCTCTTCCAGGCTAGGATTTTGATCTTAAACCTGCTAAGTACATTATCCTGATTACATTTTAATGGCTACTTACCTATTTTTGCATCCAGAGAGCCCTCAAAGTCAGCTTTGGCCAAGATGACAACAGGGACTTCCTGCTGGGTGAGCATGTTCACAGCTGTCACGGGCGTGAGGCAATCTGAAAATGAAAGCAAACAACTGTGGACGCCAGTCTGCTGGGACTCTAACACCATCTGAATCTCAGAGGAGACAAGTGAGAAAAATAAGCCTTAGAATTTCTGTGCTTTTGTGCTAATTATTATAGAATTTGTTCTTTGAAGGTATTAACAGATAATTCACACTAGTGGAGAATCAAAAGATTAAACAAAAAAATGAAAATATTCATTCGCACTCCTAACCAAAGACATGAAAATGGCATTTTTACTTTCCAGATGGTGGAGTAAAGATGTTCCCACCACCCACTTTTCCTTTTGAAAAGTACCTCAAGTATACAGAAGAATGAGAAGCACAACAATCTATCTATGGTGAAACTAAAAGATATCTGAAATTTTAAACTATAACACTTGAAGATGGAAGTGGATAGAAAAGGAGAAAATGACTGAACAGAGAGGAGATTTCCATACATACAAGGACAAAACAGTTCCTTCCCATGTACCATTTCTAAGGAGATACCAGAGGTTGTGGTCCAGCAAAAGGAAGGGGTAAATCAAGAAAGAGACAGACATGGGATCTAGGAAACAGAGGATCCAACAAAGAAAAGAGGGTAGGGACATTTGCAGAGCAGAGACAGAGAGAAGTCCCAGGATGACAGATATGCAGAAGCCTGGAGGATGACCAGGTCAGATTTAAGCAGGACAGAGAGCCCCAGGAAGCATCTTCAGGAAAAAAAGGGGATGGATAGATTATCTGACAGGCTGGAATATGTAGAAAACTTGAGAGGAGTTTTAAAGAGCTTCTGGGAGGATGTGGGAAGACAGTCAGAAATTCAAAGAACACAAAGCAAATTAAAAAAATGAGGACACCATGAACTTCAGGAAAAACAGAAAGTTATATAAAAAGGAAAATGTAATCATAGTATATTTGGCTCAGGTGACCGATATTTATGTGGTCATAATAAAACACTTAATTTGGAATTATCCAAACAGTGTGTCATCTTAAATGAAGCTTATTACAACTACTGCAGCAGTGAGATAAACCATACATACATGAATCTTCACTGAATATATGTAGGACTGGAAGCATGAAGACCCCAAAAAAGTCCCAAAGGAAGAAGGGATGAGAGGTGGTAAACAATTAGTGAGTTCATTTGTACTTTTGCAACATAAGCAATTAACTACAGTTATAATTTATGAACTATTACTATTTATACCCACTATGTTTTAAGACTTTATATAGATTTATCTAAAATATGTTCTACAAACCCCAAAGTTAAAATAAGCCTAGGGGACTTCTCTGGTGGTCCAGTGGTTAAGACTTCGCCTTCCAACACAGGGGGTGTGGGTTCAATCCCTGGATGGGGAGCTAAGATCCCACATGCCTCACAGCCAAAAAACCAAAACATAAAACAGAAGCAATATTGTAACAAATTCAATAAAGACTTTAAAAATGGTCCACGTCAGAAAAACCTTAAAAAAAAAAAAAAAGCCTAGGAATTAGGATTTATTTTTCAGAGAGGTAAAGATAGGCTCTGTAAACATCCAAGCCAGCTCCGATCTTCCTTCACCTTGGGTGTCAGGAAGCACAGGACAGGGTTATGGTGGGGACAGAGTGAAAATGCAATGCAAATGGGTCTCCAGGGATGAGGTTCAACCAGCACCCTGGTACCATGACTGGAAGGCACCTGCTGCTGGAGCTGCTGAAGTGCTGACACCCTCAAAGTGGACAGCCAGATTTCTGATTCCATGTGGTCCCTTCTCAAAGAACAGGTATACATTTGCAAATTCTGCAATTATGGTATGTTATTAGGAGGATGGACAGTGAGCCGTGGTGGAGTGAGAATAAAAGTCACTAGGTAATGTCTACAACTGGTGAATGGAGAGACAGCAGTGTAGGCATATTATACAGACATGTGGCGGTCTATACCAGAGAAACGGTGGTGGAACAGACTGCCAGTTGACACCATATCTGTCTTTCCTTCTGATTCAGCAATAGAATGTTTAGTTGGACACATGACTGCGTAGCTAATGGCAGCACTGCTCAGCTTCACTTGCACTGGGTATGGCCATGGGGTTAAGTGTAGAAGCAACTTGCAGGTCAAGCTCTCAAAGGGAAGGACCTGCCCTTCTTCCCCCACCACCTTCTTACTGCGACGCAGATGAAGTGTAGAACAATCTGGAACACACAGATAAGGGCAACGTCCTAGAGGGGCAGAGCAGGAAGACAGAAAGAGCCTCGGCCCCAACCACCCCACAAAGCAGACTTGTTATACCCACTCTATATGTCACGTGGGCAAGAAATAAACTTCTGTCCTTTTAGTCACTGTTTTTCTAGGACTCTGTCACAGCCATCGAACTTATATCCTAAGTAACAAATTCCCCCCCCAAATTAAAAGTGGTTGGGTAAGGAGGCTACTGTCATTGCTGTTGTTAGTACCCTCTGAAATTTCACATAATATACATATATCACCTAGATTTTTAAAAACACAAATTAATTTTTATAAAGAGAGATGGAAATTAAAGTAATTTTGAAGTATTATTATTTTTCACCTGATAAGTTAAGAAAAACTTTTAGAAGGGTACCATCACTGTTTGTGAAGTTGCACTGAAATTCATATATCATTCAATACAGCACTCTAAACTGATATAGCCCTTTCAGAAACCAATTAAAGCAACTTGTAAACAGAACTAGAAAAGGGTTCATAAACTTTGACCAAAAAAATCACACTCTTGGGGATGTTTCCTAAGGAAGTAATTCTATAGAGGCAAAGAGCTGTCTCCATAATAGCCCAAACATGAAAAAGGCCAAATGTTCAACATGATAGGGAAGATTTAGGATATTATGATACACTTGAGTTGACAGAATATTATGTATGGATTAAAAAAACAATTGGGAAGCCTGCCTAAAAACAAAGAAATATTTTCTGATATCACATTAAGTAAAAACCAAAAAATAAAGATAGACGCAGTCTGATTTTTAAGATAAGTGTGTGCGGGAACACGAATTTAAAAGATTTATGACACATACAAAAGAACAAAGTTGAACTCCTATCTTTGCTATATATAAAAATTATACTTAATTTAAAAATGGATTAAAGACCTAAATATAAGATCTAAAACCATAAAACTCTTAGAAGAAACATAGGTATAAATCTTTGTGATCTTTGATTAGGCAATGGTTTCTTAGATATGACACCAAAATCAAAAGTAGATAAATTGGACTTTAACAAAATTTAAAACTTCTGTGTTTCAAAGGACACCATCAAGGAGGTGAAAAGAAAACCCACAGAACTGGAGAACATTTTTGTAAATCATATATCTGATAAGAAACTTGTATCTAGCATAAAAAATGATTGTAATTTAATAATAAAGACAACTAAATTAAAAAATGGGCAGATGATCTGAACAGATGTTTCTCTAAAGAAGATACATAAATGGCCAATAAGCATGTGAAAAGATGCTCAATACCATTAGCCATCAGGTAAATGCAAATCAAAACCACAATGAGATAATGCTTCACACTCACCAGCATGGCCATAATAAAAAAGACAGGCAATAACGAGTGTAGGCAAAGATGTGGAGAAACTGGAACCCCCATGTACTGCTGCTGGGAATGTAAAATAGAGCAGCTGTTTTAAAAAAGTCTGATTGTTCCTCAACCAGTTAAAAATAGAGTTACCATAAGACCTAACAACTCTACTCCTAGATATTGGGTTGGCCCAAATCTGAACGAATGTTCATAGCAGCTAGCTGGAAAGTGGAAAGAAACAAAATGTCCATCAATTGATGAATGGATAAATAAAATCTGGTATATACAATGGAATATTCTGAAATAAAAAGGAACGAAGTACTGACTACAACATGGATGAACCTTGAAAACATTATACTATATGAAAGAAGCCAGTCACAAAAGAACAAATATCATATGAGTCCATTTATATGAAATGTCCAGAACAGGAAAGTTTATGTAGAAAGAAAGTAGATTAGTGGCTGCCTGGGGCTGGGGGAAATAGGAGGAATGGGGGTGACTGCTAGAGGGTATGGGATTTCTTTGGGGGATGATAAAAATGTCCTAAAATTGACAGTGGTGATGGTTGTAAAATTCTGTAGATATACTAAAAAACCATTGAATCGCACATTTTAAATGGGTGAATTTTATGATATGTGAATTATATCTCAATAAAGTCATTACAAGAAAAATATGAAAAAAAAGTAGAGTACTTGCATTAAAGGGCTGAATTTTTCTCCATTTTCCCACATAAAAGGTCTATTATGACAGTTTTTCAATTAGAAAAAAGTTCTTGGCCAGGCCTAGCATTCTCCACATTTCTCATTAGTCATGTGCTGGTGACATGAAGCAGGAAGCCAAGGAGAAATCCCAAGTAACTGAAGCAGTTCATACAGGGGTTAAGTCATAGCTAAATGCTTTAGAAGATACAAAGGATTACTAACTTACTAGTTAGTAATTACAAAGGAAACATTCCAGTCAAGAAGCTGCCCTCTGCTCTCAGGGCCCCCACTGCAAAAAAGGCAGGTCTTTCACGCCCCATGGAAAAACAGACCAAAGTCTCTGTTCATAACTCAGCAAAGCAGTGCTGCTTGCGACTAGGTCCCAGGGATGCTCTGTGGAAACAGGGTCCTCTGGTCAAGTAAGCGTGAGGAGAGCTGCATGACGTCCCCTCGTAGACCGTCACAGTGCACGTTAGCACAGCGAAGGCACTAAAAAGTCCAGAAGCAAAGAAACCTATTTATTTTTGCTTTATTCCAGGTTACCTGAGCACGGAAGCTTTCCTCCACACAGTATCTATTAACATGTGCTGAAAGGATGCTAGTAGGAGCAGTTTGATTGAGAATAAACTATTATCCACAGGATTCTGTTCCTTACCCTTTGTCCCATCCCCATGCTGAATCAATGGCAAGACAATAGGGAGCAATAAATTATTCAGTGCTCTGGGGCTTCTCTCTAATGTGTCAATAACAACAGAGTTTCTAAGTCACCCATTAGGGAGACCTCATTTACCCTTTTGGCAAAAAATACATTGTGTAGACCACTGGTGACTCAGAGCTGAAATGTGTGGTTCCAAAGCCCCAGGGTTTGCATATTTTAATATTAGGAATGTAAGAAAAGACTCCAGGAAATGTCAGAACTGCTTCTAGAACTCTGATGATATTTCCCTATTGATGCTTTTTATGGTTTCTGGTTCCTATCAAGTCACAGCTTACATAACATGACTTAAATCAGAGGCGGTCAGCTGAGAAAAGGAGGCAATGCCAATGATTATGGAAATACAGTCAATTTCAAGAACTGTATAGAGAAGGACCTTAATTTTTGCTCTCTTAAAGGAATCTGTGCCAATTATAGTATGCTGAGCAAAAACCGTACATTTAGTCAGTAACATCAGCAACCCAGTCGGCCAGGCCAGAAATCAGGGAGTTGTCCCAGGAGCCTTCCAAATACTTCTCAGAGCTGTTCTCGCCCCTCCATTCTGATGGCCACTGTTCTAGGGTCTTCACCATCTCTCACCCTAACTAATGGGGTAAGCCAGCTCTCCTGCCTCTACTCTGCGACTCAAGCATCACCCTGTCCACATGTGTCACCCTCCTCCTCAGACCCCTCAGGGCTCCTTCTGTTCCCACCAAGCGCTCCACCCCACCTTGCCCGATAGCCTCATCACCTGCGCTGCAGAGAAAACTCAACTTACAAAGGTGAAATGACCATCCTTAAGTCATAGGATGGATCTGGGATCAGAACCTTGATCATCTTGTGCCAACTCAGGAGACAATATGCAGAAATCAACTTAGCAACTGCAGGAACTCATGTTTGAGAATTTAAACTTGTGCAAGTGATATATTCAGTCACAACTGTGGGCTGCCATGACTTGCAGCAGTTACTGCTCTAACATTAGTTATCCTCAAAACTGGACATTTGAGGGAAAACCAAGCTGCTTGCCTGATTTGAGCCACATGGCAATGGTAAATGACACTAGTGATAAGATGTTCAGGTTTAAAATGTGACCTCAAAGGCCAAAGGAGGCATAAATCCATATTCATATGGTAATTTTAATTAATTGGGAAAACTGCATTACACTCTAGCACTGTACTGGCCGTAAATGACTGATTCTACATGTCAACATCCAGAGACTTGACATGCAAATTAATCTAGAGACTTTGAATAAATTGACATCTGCAAAAAGAATATTTCCATTCTGAAAATTAGAATCAGAAAATTTAGAGCCAAGTGTAGTGTTCCATTTGTAATTATTTCAGAGATTACTAAAAAGAGGGGAGAACAAAGTGAACGAGCCATTCAGCGCCAAAAGGAAATAACCAGGCCAAGTCAGATCTGCTGATATCCAAATGATCATGAAAACATTGCTCTCTGCATATGCTAAAATTATTTCTTAATTTCTTACATATGAAAATGTTTTGGATTTATATAGTGTCTTTCATGTCAGGAACTCCATCTTTTGTAACTTATTGGCTAGTTAATCCTCTATTGCTATTACTTCATTTTAATTTGTGTCCCCAAATTAACCATGGGAAAAAAATCTAAGGCCAGATGTTTATATTTTTCAGTTTTTCAATTTTAGATATTATTCAACCAACATAGCCCTCAAGGAATCTCAAAATGCTCATGAAAGTAAAAACAACAAGTTTTCCCTTTAAACTAAACAGTTGAAAACAATCCAATCTTTCCTTTGAATACGTGGAAAATAAAACTGAGAGAGATAGCTACTGGACTTTATAAGCACACACTGAAATCTTAAGAGTCTTTTCTCCATTTCAATGTACAACAACAAAAGAGATGAAACCAAGTGATATCTGTCCTGTGCCAGTGAATTACATATGCATCTGGGTCTCCTCTGCTATGACCCCGCCTCCGCCCCCCGAAGACAGGACTGTGAACGGCCATCTATGCATCCCCAAGTGCTCAGCATGTAGCAGGCTCTCAGTAAGTATTAACTGATCTGAATATTGATGTTGTTAAGTAAACAATTAGAAGTCCTAAGCAGAGATAAGCTGGGATGACATTGTTTATCTTTCCAATGTGATCAGGAAATCTTTCATTCTGACTATTTTAAGAATAGCAATTAAAAAAAAAAACTTTATGCCACCATTCAAAAAATTTTATTAATCAAATAATTTAAATAGACCTCCAATAATTCAGATGGTGTGCTTTTGGGTTGAAGTTTATAGTCTATGAAAAGTGAAGGAGGCTGAGATTTTTACAGAAATTTTACATTTCTCTGGAGACCTACTTCTAAATGACAGGTGATTTCTTTTCGCCTGCCCAGGATCATATCCCCTTCCTCTGGGAAGAGCCTCTGAGTTTCAGAAAGCTACCCCTTCCTCACTGATGACAGTCTTGTTGGTCTATCAAGGAAGGTGCCTGGCCTTCCCTTGGCCAACAAAAAGGCCAGGTCCCCAGTTATACCAAGTGAACACCCTTCTCTGCAACAGGAATCTCAAACCAAGTGCCCCAAGCACTGAGGGCGAGGTGAGAGCAGATTCACTCAGTCAGTGGTACGCAAGAGACTATTAGCTCCTACTGCCCAAACCCCCATGGCTGTCTGGTCCAAGTCCTCTTCCAGACTGGTTCTTCCCCACAGCTTTCTAGTATGTTCCCCTCCTCCCCTGGGTTAGCCAGAGATGGATTCTGTTGCTTGCAACCCTGGAATACTGACTAATGCATAGGCACTTCCCAATCCTCACTGACCAACACCTGCTATGCCAATTCTAGGTCAGCTTGATCCACTCATTTAAGGCCTGTATTGAGCAGGACTCTGCTTGTCTGCTCAGATCACTGTGTGAATTCTTAAAGATACTAAAATTAAGTTATTGAAATGTTTCCTTTAATTGTCATTGGCTTCCTTCCTGTCCCTGTCAGTATACTTTTATTTGATGATAAAATTGTAAGTTAAGTACCAGATTCTATTCCTATCAGAAAAGAGCTTTAAATCTAGATTATATTTAAAGTGAAAGAGTTGAGCTTTCAAACAAAAACTTAAGAAGTGGACAAACTAGTAACTCAAAGTAACTTAACATTTTCAAAGTTCTTTTTGATCCTCATGTTTTAAAATCAAAACATGAAAAGTTAGGCCAAGGAGAATAACAGATCACACAAGATGACATATGTGAAAGGGCCGTGAACTCTGTGAAACGTAAGGCATAATGCCCCCGTCTTAACCTTAACTTGCCAACTCACCTTTGCCAGGGATGAGAGCCTTCCGAAAGGCTTCCTTCAGAGAGCTGTGCCCATGTAAGAGTCTGTGGCTGGGAGAGATGGCCACGTGGGCGGTGCCGTAAACGGCCTCGGGGGTGGCCGTGTAGGCGCTCAGCTTTTCTCCTGTGACTTGCCCATCAACCTGGCAGGGGGGAAGCAGAGTCATTTTCTCAGTCCTCCCTCTGGGCTGCTGTGCTCCCCAGCCATACCCCTTCCTCCCACCCCTCCCCAATCCCAGATAGTGGTGACAGCTTCTGACCATAGCCACAGGGATGTGGGGACCTGAGGTGGTCCCTGGCAGGGGCAGAAAGGGCAAGAGAGAAGAGGGTCACAGCTCCTCTTTCAGGAGGCCTCCCCAGTGCCCACAACCAGGCGTACTTGGGGGCCCCAAATCAAAGGGGGTCAAAGCATGCTCAGAAGGATGCCTTCCCCGGTTCTTGGCTCCTTTGTTCACAAATCAATAATAACTGTCAATGTTATTCGTCCTGAGAAAGGAGCTATACTTTCCTCCAGGATTTAAGTTACAAATAAAGACATCAACATTTCTAACCAGAAAAAGACACTGAGGCTAATTCCATTTTGAATAGGAAAGAAAGGACAGCCTGAGCTGAGCTCAAGAATGTGTGCTCCTAGGGCTGGTTAAATGCCTTTCAAGGAAGAGTCAAACATTAGGCACCAACTGAATGCCAACTATGTGACAGACACAAGGGACACAGAGAGGCCAGATCCTCCTTTGTTCACACATTCAAATGTGCTCACAAAGTGCCAATGATGTGCGAAGCGCTTGGGGCCCAGAACTAAAAGTCCACACTGTGGACTGAGTGCCAATTAGGTGTCACCTATGGAGCCAGGCGAGGGGCCTCAGAGGCACAGCCACATGGCCCTGTACCTGCAGGACTGAGAGTGTTCCCTCCGGAGATGTCTCATTTTCAGGTGGGTCCAGGAATGGAGGTGGAAACACTTTCACAATAAAATATAGGGCAAGGGAGAGAATACAGAAGACATTCCACATACAGTAGACAGGTGGCTCAGAGACCTGCATCCCTCACCCTGGTGAAGAAGCAAAGGCCTACAATGTGATCACATCTTGAAATGAAAATTCTGGATGTAATGAGTTAAATAAAATGTTATTAAAATTAATTTCACCTGTTTCTTTGCACTTTAAAAAATGTGGCTACTAGAAAATTTGAAATTACATATGTGACTCTCAGTATCTTTCTACTGGATAGCACTGTTGCAGAGTCTCAAGTTGCTGGTCTCTTCAAAGAGTTCTAAAAATACAGAAGGGGGTTTCTGAGCATTAATTGCTGGAGATGCTCTTGCTCGATCACCTTTAATGTGAAGTCCAAATGGCAGCCCACACAGTCCCCGATCCAGTGGGCCTGCATGCCTTTTATTCCGTACCATTCTGGAAGGTCTGCCAGCGCGTCCTGCATGGGCTGTAGGAATGAAAGGAGAACGGAGAGGTAGAAGCACACAGCTTACTTAAGACAAAACAAGTGATCTGGGGATCGCTAAGGTGGGAGAGCTGGGGACACTGAAGGAGGTTCAGGATTTAGCCCTTTTCTTCTTCACTTGTCAATCAGAGAGGCCCAGCAAAGGTCACACAGATGCACTCATCATGACTCAATTTAGTGAGATGGGTTTCACTCACTTCTCTATTTTGAGTGGGCCAAGGTTTCAGAGGGAGAAGAAAATTAACAAGGGGAGACCATGATTAACATCTTTGATGGATGTGGTTAGTGCATTCTCCTCCACAGTCTGGGACCTAAACAAAAGAAGTTCAAGTTTATGAATTTTTAAACCCTAAGATAAGTCATTCACAGGTATGGCTATTCTACAACTCAACTGTATCATATATAGAACATTATAAGTTTATTTAAAAAATAAAAATTAGCATAAGGGAAACCATCACATTGATTTGTGTAACATTTACTATTAAAAGCACACATTTATTTTCATCGTCTAATTTTAATCCTAAAATCCTACAAAAGGGAGGCTTTTCAATAAACTATTCTCTATGGTCTCAAGCTCATGCCATCCCTTTATTTGAAGATGAGATAAATTCTTTCAACAAATAAGTTTAAAAGTAAATCATATATTTATAATAAGAGTCCAATTTTAAATTCCTAATTGTATTATGACAAATACAGGCAACATAACGATGCTTTATTCGTGTAGTGTTTTGTAATTCATAAAGTGCTTTTAAACACATCTCTTCTCACACACTCTGGGTAAGGTAGCTCACTTTCAGATTAATGAACCCACACTGAAAAAGCGTATAGCTTTCTCATGCAAGCCTGCAGGAAAGGACAAGCCAGGACTAAAACCCAGACCTTACTAACTGCATTCTTTTGCCTACAGGGCAGAGACTTACTCTATCGTGTGATAAACAACACAGAGCATTTTCTACACTTGTCATCTATCTATCCATCCATTCTCATTTATTCGGGAGAGCCTGCAAGTTTCAAGATCCAGAAATTTCTTCTGAGGCAGAAATTGTGGATTATGGACACCATCAAGTTGACCAGCAATGTGTTCATTCATTTGTTTATTCCCAGGAATGTATTAACTCCCCAACCCTAAACACAAGGACATCATCTAGGCATTGGAGACTTGGGCATACACAAAGCAGGATGTGCCAGAGTCCCTAAAATGAAGTTTAAATAATGCACACATGGAGCCTGCGGCTATTCGTTGGGTAACTGATCAAACTGCAATGCCAAATGCTATTAGCATCAAAGAAGATGGGACACGGGTTGTGGAAATGAATCAAGGGAAAAGAAAAATAGTGGGAGGGTAGGGAAGAAAAGTAACAGAGTGAAAAGTAGGGAGAGATATAAAAGATTTGGGGGGTGGACCACAGAGGAGAAGGAAAGTCATAGGAAGTGGGTGGGTGAGGAAAGAAAAGCTCCAAAAAGAAAAGAAAGGAAGGGAAAAGAAGCAACTAAAGAGTGCCTGCCCAGTCCACAGTAGGGTGCAATGACCAGTCAATAACAGGGTGAGCCTTCCTGCCATGGGGCTGTCAATCTTGAGAGAAAAGCAAAGGAAAGAGGGAACGGAGTTACACTAATATTAAAATAGAAACCAGACATGTGTGCAAAATTGGAAAAGGAGAGCACTGGAAAGCCTCAGTGAAGAGCTCAAGCTGTCCTTTTAACGCAACGTCACACTAAGGCTCAGTAGCTTCCTTTTTGCTACCAATAGGAACCTAGCTGTGTGACACCTGGCATAATCCTCATGCAGAGACCCAACTACCCAGCTCATGTTTATAGGTCATCTTCAACAAAATGATTCTAGGGTTCTCCCATTTCCGGACCATTAATCACGAAAGATAAAAACGTTTTTTATGAGGAAATGTCATTAATTAGAAACCGTGGGTATTTTATAGTCTACCTGGTCATTTGGAAAGGAGATCCACAAAAGCCAAATAGCTGATGACAAAGATTCAGAAATATTTTAGGTAAGTTTTGAAACTTCATAATTCAGCATGACCTATGCTTAAGCCAATTCATGATGTTGATGAAACCGTACTGCCCAATCTCCCAGGGCAGGATCAAGGAAAACCAGAGTTGCTAGTTTTAAGTACAATAAGCAGATCAACATGTGTCAATGCCATACATATATTCCAACATCTGTGCTTGTGAGATGGCTTTCCATAGGATATACAAAATGCTTTATGGGTCAAGTAAAGTTGCCCAAAAGGACCATTATGTTTCAGTATTTGCCTGAGTGAAAACTGACTTTTGAGAAGGTGGTAAAAGTCCTGCTTCAGGTTCCTGACTGTTCATTACTTCAATTAAAGTGGCTTTCTTAAAAAAAAAAAAAAAAAAAAAAAAGTGGCTTTCTTTTGGTACAAACTATTATGTATAAAATAAATAAGCTACAAGGATATATTGTACTGCCCAAGGAATATAGCCAGTATCTTATAATAACTATGAATGGAGTATAATCTATAAAAATTTTCAATCACTACATTATATACCTGAAACTAACATAATATTGTAAATCAACTATACCTCAAAAAAAAAAAAGTCAGAGCAACGAGATTGGTTCAAGATGGTGGAGTAGAAGGACGTGCTCTCACTCCCTCCTGCAAGAACACCAGAATTACAACAAACTGCTGAACAATCATCGATGGGAAGACACTGGAACTCACCAAAAATGATACCCCACATCCAAACACAAAGGAGAAATCACAATGAGATGGCAGGAGGGGCACAATCACAATAAAATCAAATTCCATAACTGCTGGGTGGGTGACTCACAAACAGAGAACACTTATACCACAGAAGTCCACCCACTGGAGTGAAGGTTCTGAGCCCCACGTCAGGCTTCCCAATCTGTGGGTCTGGCAACGGAAGGAGAATTCCTAGAGAATCAGACTTTGAATGCTAGTGGGATTCGATTGCAGGACTTTGACAGGACTGGGGGAAAAAGAGACTCCACTCTTGGAGGGAACACACAAAGTACTGTGCTCACTGGGACCAAGCGGAAGGAGCAGTGACCCCATAAGGGACTGAACCAGACCTACCTGCTAGTGTTGGAGGGTCTCACAGGCAGGGGATGACTGTGGCTCACCACGGAGACACTGGCAGCAGAAGTTCCGGGAAGTACTCGTTGGCATGAGCCCTCCCAGGGTCTGCCATTAGCCCCACCAAAGAGACCGGGTAGGCTTCAGTGTTGGGTCGCCTCAGGCTAAACAACCAACAGGGAGGGAACCCAGCCCCATCCATCAGCAGACAAGTGAATTTAAGTTTTACTGAGCTCAGCCCACCAAAGCAACAGCCAGCTCTACCCACCACCAGTCCCTCCCATCAGGAAACTTGCACAAGCCTCTTAGATAGCCTCATCCACCAGAGGGTAGACAGCAGAAGCAAGAAGAACTAAAATCCGGCAGCCTGTGGAACAAAAACCACATTCACAGAAAGATAGACAAGATGAAAAGGCAGAGGGCTATGTACCAGATGAAGGAACAAGATAAAACCCCAGAAAAACAACTAAATGAAGTGGAGATAGGAAACCTTCCAGAAAAAGAATTCACAATAATGATAGTGAACATGATCCAGGACCTCGCAAAAAGAATGGAGGCAAAGATTGAGAATATGCAAGAAAAGTTTAACAAAGATCTGGAAGAATTAAAGAACAAACAAATAGAGATGAACAACACAATAACTGAAATGAAAAATACACTAGAAGGAATTGATAGCAGAATAACTGAGGCAGAAGAACGGATAAGGGACATGGAACACAGAATAGTGGAATTCACTGCTGTGGAACAGAATAAAGAAAAAAGGATAAAAAGAAATGAAGACAGCCTAAGAGACCTCTGGGACAACATTTAACATAACAACATTCGCATTATGGAGGTCCCAAAAGGAGAATAGAGAGAGAAAGGACCAGAGAAAATATTTGAAGAGATTATAGTCGAAACCTTCCCTAACATGGGAAAGGAAATAGCCATCTAAGTCCAGGAAGTGCAGAGAGTCCCATACAGGATAAACCCAAGGAGAAACACGCCGAGACACATAGTAATCAAACTGGCAAAAATTAAAGACAAAGAAAAATTATTGAAAGCAGCAAGGGAAAAGCGAAACATAACATACAAAGGAATCCCCATAAGGTTATCAGCTGATTTTTCAGTGGAAACTCTGCAGCCCAGAAAGGAGTGGCAGGATATACTTAAAGTGATGAAAGGGAAGAA